AGGAACTCCTCAAGTTTGTAAACCGGAGTCCCTCTCCTTTCCACGGTAAGTGACCAGGGCAAGGGAGGAGGGTGAGGACTGGTGTGCCCCTCCCACCGGCCTCCGTCGTTGTGAGAGAGTCCTTGTCTTACAGTCGTAGCCGAGTGCCGCAACCGCCTCCTCCAGGCTGGCTTCCATGAACTCAAGGAGACGGAGAGCTGGGATATCAAGCCGGAGAGCAAGGTACTAGGGGTGGGGTGGGGGTGGAAAGTGACCAGGGCAAGGGAGGAGGGTGAGGACTGGTGTGCCCCTCCCACCGGCCTCCGTCGTTGTGAGAGAGTCCTTGTCTTACAGTCGTAGCCGAGTGCCGCAACCGCCTCCTCCAGGCTGGCTTCCATGAACTCAAGGAGACGGAGAGCTGGGATATCAAGCCGGAGAGCAAGGTACTAGGGGTGGGGTGGGGGTGGAAAGGCAGGTCCCTAGGCCAGGTGTCAAAGTCCTGTGTGCCATTTGGCCAAGGCACCTCACACCCCATCTCTTCTTCCCTCCCCCCAGTACTTCTTGACTAGGAACTCCTCCACCATCATCGCTTTTGCTGTGGGGGGTCACTTTGTTCCTGGCAATGGCTTCAGCCTCATTGGGGCCCATACTGACAGCCCCTGCCTCCGGGTAAGGAACTGAGGCTGTGCTGGGTGGGGAGATGTTGGGGAGAGAGGGGCAACAGGGAGCCAGGAGGTATAGATGGGGGGCTTTATTCCTTGGAGTCCAGGAGGAGGTCCACCTGTCGGCCCCTCCTCTGACAGTAACAGTGGCCAACCAGTGGCTCTGGTCTGTCAATTGTCTAAGTCTCACCTCCAGATCGGGGCAGGCCTTCTTTGACTCAATCACCTTCACCTTCAGGTGAAGCGCAGGTCTCGCCGCAGCCAGGTGGGCTTCCATCAAGTGGGCGTGGAGACCTATGGGGGCGGGATCTGGAGCACCTGGTTTGACCGTGACCTCACCTTGGCTGGACGAGTCATTGTCAAGGTGAGAGCTGGGATGTGACATCGGGGAGGTTCTTGGGCTCCTTGGACGGTCCTTTGTTCCATTCCTTCAGGGTGTCCATGAAGGGTTCCCTGGGGAGGAAGGATGGGGCCGTGCAGGCCAGAGGACCCCCTCAGTCAGTCTGGTGAAGGGGGTGTTAGCCAGCAGGGGCAGGGTGTGTTGGGCTGACTGGGCCTGGTTGGCCGCAGTGCCCTTCCTCAGGTCGCCTGGAGCAGCGACTGGTGCACGTGGAACGGCCCATTCTGCGGATCCCTCACCTGGCCATCCATCTGCAGCGCAATATCAACGAGAACTTTGGGCCCAACACGGAGATGCACCTGTGAGACTGGGGCAGGGTGTGGCACCAGGTGACAGAGGGCCCCAGCGGGACCTGGGAGCAGGGACCTAGCTGATGTCTGAGGGTCCTGACAGCTCTGACATTTGGGGAGCAGGCTGCAAACTGGCAGGCATGGGCAGTTCCCTGTCAGGAGATGGAGATGCCTTCCCTGCTGTGCCCTCCAGCCGTCCCCATGCACCCGCTTTCCCTCTCCCCGCAGAGTCCCCATTCTTGCCACAGCAATCCAGGAGGAGCTGGAGAAGGGGACCCCTGAGCCTGGGCCTCTCAGTGCTACAGTAAGAGAGTCTCTTGCTCATGGGGAGGGTGGGTGGAGGGGGTGCAGATCAGTCCCCTGAGAAGGGGCGAGGAGAGGAGCAGTCCCTCCTCCCAGTGTCCTTCTGCCCTACAGGATGAGCGACACCACTCCGTGCTCATGTCCCTGCTCTGTGCCCACCTGGGGCTGAGCCCCGAGGACATCTTGGAGATGGAGCTCTGCCTTGCAGACACCCAGCCAGCGGTGAGCAGCGGCTGCAGGAGCAGCTGGGTGGGGGCTGCCAGGGGCTCAGCCAGCCCTCGTGTGTGACCTGTCCCTCACCAGCCCCTCAGTTATTCTCATCCCTGTTCTTTCCATAGACAGCAGCCCCGCTTTGCTTCCAGGGCATGGTTCTTTGTATTATTATTATTTATTTTATTTTATTTATTATTTTTTAACTTCCCCAGAGAGAGACATACATGGGGGCAGGTGGGTAGTGAGAAAGCAAGCTACCGGGTCCAGGACCTGAACTGTGGTCAGCCATGTGGGAGTCCAGCCCTTTAACCACCACACCACCTGCTGGCCCCAGGGTGCTGGTTCTTAAAAAGACAGCTTCTCCATCCCAGACCTGTCTATATGCACTGTCTGCAGGGAGGGGCCTAGGGAGCGAGTGACCCTCTTCAGGATTCTGCAGGGGTTTCTGCTCCAGGTGGTCCCATCTGCCTCGACCCACTGTGGATCTAACTTCTGAGGGCAACACACCTGTGGCCGCCTGTTCTCTAGCTCCCAGATCGCAAAGTCTGTGGATGCGCTGTCCTTGCTAAGTCTCTGGTTCCTGACTGGTTTTGCTTTTGACCTTGTTTTTAGTGACCATTCACCCTCCCTTTTCCTGCCCCACAGGAGCAGGCCAGGAGCTATGGGCCTCCACCCTCCCATCCCTCCACTCCAGCCAGCCGTCCTCCATTCTCTGTTGAGTCCTACCTGGCATGCATAGTGGTGCCCTAAGCCAGGGGTCAGGGAGGCTTGCTGCAGCTGCAGCCCCTCAGGTGAGGGAGGGTGGGGTTGAAGGTCAGGCTGACTGTCTGGTTTCCTAGGTCCTTGGTGGTGCCTATGATGAGTTCATCTTTGCCCCTCGGCTGGACAACCTACACAGCTGCTACTGCGCCCTGCAGGTGAGGAGCTGGGTGTACATACCGCCCTCGGGAGAGGGAGTGTGGGGAGGGCTGTCCATGCCCCAGCAGGTCGCGGGCCTCTGGGCTGGGCGGCCCGCAGGGTGGAGCCTAAATGCTGCAGCCTCAGCATTGCTGCCCGTGGCCTCTGTCCTTGCACTGGCCGGGGCCAGGCAACGAGGTAAAGGGAAGGCTGAGATGTCTGGGGCCGCCCCACTGCACCTGCACTGATCCTGTCCTGCTGCTTTTCCTTCAGTGAGCAGCCTCTGCCTCAAGAGAAAGGCCTTACGGCCCCACCCTCGCTGCTGCCCCACTCTGGTGGGAGCCCACCTAGCCTCGCCTGTCCCTTGGGGTTTTGGCGGGGTGGTTTCTCCCTCCCAGCAACTTGATCCCATGCTAGTCTCTTCCCTTTCTTTGTTTCTCTTGCCCTTGCCCCTCCCTCTGCCTTTTCTACCCTGCCCCTGCTGAGACTGGAGTCCGCCTTTGGGTTGTTACAGAGACCACAGTCAGGCCTGGGACCTGCATCCCCTTCTGTAGCCAGCCAGTCGTGTCGCCTTGATGGGGTCACGGTGCCCTCTTCGAACTCTCAGCCTTTTTTTTAGGTTTGTGCCATAGGGCATGTGTGCTCACCAGAGACAGACAGACAGAGAAAGTGAGAAATCGCCCCATGGGCTTGGCCATGCCGCAATCCCTTCTCCATTCTCCTTTTGGGATTCTGGGCACTCCTGTGCACATCCCTGGTGTGATTTTCAAGGTCCCGGGTCTGGGACTTGAACACAGAGTTGACCATGTGGGATCCAGCACCTTTATCACAGTGGCACACTCTGGCCTCATCAGTGGTAGATCTTTTTTTTTTTTTTTGAGAGGTTTTTGCTATAGGGCACGTGCGCTCACCAGACAGACAAAGACATAGAGACAGAAAGTGAGAAATCACCCCCCAGGGGGGTGGTCACGCCGCAATCCCTTTTCCTCCATTCTCCTTTCGGGATCTTGGGCACGCACGCACGCGCGCCCGGTGTTAGTTCTAAGCCACTGGGTCCGGGACACGAACTGTGGTCGACTAAGTGGGAATCCAGCGACATAGCCATTACGCTAACTGCTGGTTCCCATCAGTGGTAGATCTTTTGACCTAGGTTTCTCAGGTGCTTGCACATCCTCCTGCCTTTCACATGGGGAGAGGTGGGGGAAGAAAACCAAAGTCTGGTTTCCGCCATCCCAGCTAAAAGGGTCCCTGCCATGCCCTCTGCCGGGCAGTGCCCTCAGATAGAAGCCGGTGAAGCCCAGCCCTCCTCCCCGTGGCCGTGACGATGGGAGGTGGCAGCTCTGAGGTGCTCGGGCTGGTCACGGAAGGAGGAGGGCTGGGCTTGATGCTGCTCGTTCCCTCCCCGAGCCAGGCCTTGATCGATTCCTGCTCGGCCCCTGCGTCCCTGGCCACGGAGCCTCACGTGCGGATGATCACGCTCTACGACCACGAAGAGGTGATGGGGCCTCTGGGGGTGGTCCTCGCTGTGGAGCCTTCCACAGCCTTCTTGTCCAGGCACCCGCGTGACCGGGGTCGTGGCTCTCTGTCTCTGTGCCGTGTGCCGAGCTCCCTCCCCGCTGATCTTGAAGCTCCTGGGCTTCGCTCCCAGTGGGTCCTCACGGCACAGGCACACGTGAGGCTGCAGTCTTTTCTTTTTTTTTTTTTTTAAGAATTATTTTCCTTAACTTCATTTATTTATTTATGTGTTTACTTACTTATAATGTGACTAGAGAGGGACAGAGTGAGAGAGAGAGAAAGGGAATGTGAGAAAGCAAGCCGCCAGGTCTGGGGCTCAAACTCGGTCGGCCAAGTGGGAGTCCAGCGCCCTTACCCACCCCGCCACCTGCTGGCTGAGGCTGCAGTCTTAAATGCTGGAATTGAGCTTGAGCCCAGAGATGGTGCTTTCATGGGACCACTCAGGTCAGAGTTAGCAGTTCACAGCGGGTCTCTGCCACCCTGAACGTGTGGCCTCAGTTCGGATCCAGGTGGCTGTTCCAACCCTGATCATGTTGGCCACGCCAAGTTAGCAGAAGGGCGTAAAGGCACAGGGAGAGCAGACGCCATGCCCTAAGGGCGCCATCTGAAAGTGACATTCGCTACTGCTTATGTTGGCCCTGCTTAGCTGCTAGGGAGGCTGGGATGTCATCTCCAGCAGGGGAGTTGTGGGCTTAGCTACAGTGTGGTGACAAAAGATGTCCTGGGTGGCAGTCTGTGTCACATGGATAAAATAAAACTGACCAGTGTGGTGGGCACCTCTGCTGAGCCCCAGGGAAGGAAGGCGGCAGGGCAGGAAACCTACTAACAGGTTAGTTTAGCCCCAGCCCAGCCACCACCAGGTGTTCTGTGATGGCCTGGGGTTGGAGATGTTGCCAGGGACACCCTCATTCCTCGCCCATGACTCTGGGGTTCCAGGCCAGCAGGGCGTTGGGCCCCTCTTGCCGGCCCCACAGCCCAGGCGCGGAGCCCAGGGCCCAGAGCGAACCAGGTCTCTGTCCCCAGGTGGGGTCCGAGAGTGCCCAGGGAGCACAGTCGCTGCTGACGGAGCTGGTGCTGCGGCGGGTCTCGGCCTCGCCCTCGCCCCAGAACCTGACAGCCTTTGAGGAAGCCATCCCCAAGTCCTTCATGATCAGTGCAGACATGGCCCACGCTGTGCACCCCAACTACCTGTGAGTCTCCTGGGCCAGACCCGTGACCCCCGCCTAACCTGCCTGCGGCTCAGCCCTGGACCTCCCCCACCCCTTCCACTACCCGTTCCTTACCCCCTTTTCCCTGTTCTGGGAGATTCAGGGAGGATTTCCTTTTGACTGCTCCAGGGCCCACCCAATCAAAATCACAGATGCCTAATGCAGGTGTGTCCACTATGCCTTATGTACAAATTTAGCGTCCATCTCCTGTGGAGGCTGTCTGGAATGCTCTGCTTAGAATGACTCTGAGGTCCTCTGGGCGGGGTGGAGAAGAATGCTGTGATCCATTATTAATGTCTGCCATGGCAGGGAGTGGGGTGCTGAAGGCCCACTCCTGTTGTCATCCCTGATCCTTACCTCTTAACAGGGACAAGCATGAGGAAAACCACCGGCCCTTATTCCACAAGGTGAGATGCCGTTTCTCCTTAGGAACTTGGAGGCCTGGCTGACTTGGGTCCCCTCTTATTCCCTCTGGGCCTGTCACCATCTCTGCCTCACCCTCAACTCTCCCCAGGGTCCCGTGATCAAGGTGAACAACAAGCAGCGCTATGCCTCCAACGCGGTTTCAGAGGCCCTGATCCGAGAGGTGGCCAGCAGAGTCGGGGTGCCCCTGCAGGTGAGGGCAGGCCCCGGCTGGAAGGCGTGAGGGAGGGAGCATGGTGCAGCACCGCCTTTAGTGGAGGGGGTCCCAGCAGAGGAGAACAGGGGCTTTGGGTACGGACGGAGCTGAGCTGATGCCAGGGCTGCTGAGGTGCTAGCTGTGTGACCTCGGACTAGTCTCCCAGCCTTTCTGAGTCTGTGTCCATGTCTGTGGAGTGGGGAGTGGAGTGGTGCCTTCTTGGCTGGATTTCCATGAGGATCGAGGTGGTGGGCTCCTGGCGCATGTGCATCAGTCGTTTTCCACCCCAGCACCCTCCCTTCCCACGGTCTCTCACACTCCCTGGGGGCTTCTACTCATTTTTCCTTTTACCTTAGAAGTCACCTGAGTCCTGGACTGGCAGGTGGCATGGTGGCTAAGGATGCTCGACTCCCACATAGCTGACTACGGTTCATGTCCTGGACCTGGTGGCTTGCTTTCTCACTTTCTCTCTTTTTCTCTCTTTCTCTCTCCCTTTCTGGTCAAATTAAAATAAATGAATAAGTAAGTAAAGTTAAATAAAATAATAGCAATTAATTAATTAAAATACTTAAAAAAAGAAAAAAGAAAATCACCTGAGTCCTTTCCCCACACTGTGTGTGCATATATAAATATGATACGTATTTATATAAATATGTGTGCACACTCACATAGTATCTGTTTATCAACTGCCTGTCTGTATCAGGGGTTGGGGACCAGGGTGGAGTCAGACCAGGACCCTGGAGCCCAGACACCCAGGGCAGGTCTCTCCGCTGCACGGTCTCCACTCTACCCCATTCGGACTGAGTTACTCCACGTCAGGAAGGCCTCTCTGAGGAGGTGATGCCCTCACTTCTCCTCTGAGAAAAAGGCAGTTCTGGGAAAGCCTGAGGGAAGAGCAGCCCAGCCTAGAGGAGCAAGTAGAAAGGGCCAGGGGGGAGGGGGGGAGGACTCAGTCTTTTGGAAAGAGGGAGAGCCAGGTGAGAGCAGGAGTGGGCAGGGGAAGAGGCTGCCTAAACCGACCATGCAAAACTTCCTGGGCTGTGGGAGGGCGTCTGGGTTTCACTCTAAGACCAGTAGGGAGTCACTGGGGGTTATTTTGTTTTAATAAGTTACAGCAGAAATCAGGTATATTTTAGAAAATTAGGGACCAGCAGGCGGTGTGGTAGTTAAGGCACTGAACTCTCACATGATTGGCTACAGTTCAAGACCTGGACCTGGCAGCTTGCTTTCTCTCTTTCTTTCTCTTTCTCTCTTCCTCTCTCTCTGGTGAGCTGGTGAGTGCATGTGCCCTATAGGAAATTAATGATAATAGTAAATTAAACTAAATTAATGTTTAAGAAAAGAAAACTAGAAAAAGCATAGAAATGAGAAAATGAAACAGTTCCCAGGGTATGTGTATATCCTTTCAAATTTTCTTTTTATTTCTGGGCATGTACATAATGTGTATGGGGGGTCTTCAAAAAGTTTATGGGAGATATGTATTATGATAAAATTATGCATGGATTTAAACATTTTTACATTAAGAGAAACTCATACTTTGATTCCATTTTTCCATGAACTTGTTGAAGTCTTCTTGTACTCTCTTGAAATGAAATACAGTGGATTTCTTTTCTTTTTTTTTTTTTTTTTTTTGGGGGGTTTTTTTCTACAAGCACTCGCCAGAAAGTAACAGAAAGCTAGAAATCAGCCCTTGGGGGGGTGGGGAGATGGCCACACTGCAGTCCCTTCTCCTCCATTCTCCTTTTGGGATCTTGGGCATGCACACACATGTGCCTGTGTTAGTTTAAGCCACTGGGTCTGGGACTTGAACCACGGTTGACTACGTGGGAGTCTAGCGACATGGCCATTATGCCAACTGCTGGTCCCCGTAGTGGATTTTTTAAAATAATTATTTAGCTTTATTTATTTATTATTTTAATTTGACTAGAGAGGGACAGAGCAAGAGAGAGAGAGAGAAGGAAAGTGAGAAAGCAAACCGCCAGGCCAAAGATTTGAACTGCAGTTGGTCATGTGGGAGTCCAGTGCCCTTAAATACCATGCCACCTGCTGGCCCCCCATAGTGGATATTTTTTTGTTACTTTTCATGTAGTCACCTCCACCTTTTTGTTACAGAAGTTTTTGTTTCAGTGAATTTGTATCTGTACATCTAACGTATAGACCATTTTTTGTTTTCCCCAGTTATCTATAAAACAGTCTTTACAGTTTTAGTCTCACTCTCTAGTATCCAATTCAGGACAGGTGTCATATCTGGCTGAAAAGTCACTTGAATGTCTTCTGATGGGGTCAGCAGGTGGTGTGGTGGTTGAGGTGCTGGACTCCCATATGGCTGACTATGGTTCAAGACCTAAACCTGGAGCTTGCTTTCTCACTTTCTCTCTTTCTCTCTGGTGAACGCTTGTGCCCTATAGCAAATTGAAATAATAATTAGCTAATTAATTAAAATAAATACTTCTTTATAAAAAAGGAAAATGTCTTCTAATCTGGCACTGTTCTTCCCGACCCCCTTTTCTTTATAATGTTGGCTTGTTGGGTCAGGCTGATCAGCTCTTAGAATGCCTCACTTTCTCTCTTGTCTGGTTGCTTCCTCATGGTGCCATGTAGCTTGTGTCTCTAGCTCCTGTATTTCCTGTGAACTGGAATTTCTACCTAAAGACTTAACACATTCAAGTTAAATATTTCTAGTTAGAAGACATCATTGCTGGCATGTCCTTCACATTGCATTGTCCTCACAGTATCTGGGTGATCCGCCCTGAGGATGCCAACAGACCTTGGGGTTGGGGTGCCCCTTAAGTTCTTCATCATGGTTGTTCCCCCTTTGACCTGACGGTAACTTGTGCAAGGGAGGAGTTCCCATCAACCAGACACGTGATGGTGTTTGCCTAAATCAATGGTCCTTTCCTAACTAAGTAATTTCATTCGAATTTACTGGAAATTTCCCGCCTCCCAGTTCTTTTCATCTCTTCCATTCTTCTGTGAGGTGGAGCTGTCCCTCATCCAGCCAGTCAACTAGGACTGTTTGGTTATAGCAAACTCTGTTTCCTACTGGAAAACAGGGAAATGATCATTCTTTCCCTTCCCCACTTTGCTGCATGGCCATCCCCCTGGGAGGTGATTTCTCACTTTCTCTGTCTGTCTCTCTCTCTGCCAAGCACATGCACCCTTTGGCAAAAATCTAAAAAAAGAAAAAAGAATAGTTATTACTTATTTGACTTTTTTAATAAGAATTATAAAAGAGAGACCAGCAGATGGAATAATGTTTACGTCATTGGACTGCCAGTTGTCAACTGCAGTTTGAGTCCTGGACCCCACAGCTTAAAACTCATGCCAGACACGTGTATGCATGCCCAAAATCCCAAGAGGAATATGGAGGAGAAGGGATTGCAGTGTGGCCATCCCCCCCCAGGGGGTGATTTCTTGCTTTCTTTCTTGGGCAACCACACACACCCTATAACAAAAAAATCGCTCAGAAAAAAAAAAAAAAAGGATTGTTCTTTTATAAGAATAGTTAAATATTAAGAATAATTAAATAATTATTTCTATATCTCTCCCCAGTGAGCACATGCACCCTATGGTAAAAACCTTAAAAAAAATAACAAAGTTATTACTTAATTTTTAAATTTTAAATAATAATTATAAAAGAATTTTTCCATAAGAATAATTAAGTAATTATATAGTAATTCTTTCATAATTAAATAACTTTTAAAAATTATTCAGTTTAATTTATTATTATTATTACTACTTTTAATTTGATGTAGGGCACGTGCACCCACCGGAAACAGAGAAGGAGGGAAATGAGAAAGCAAGCTACCAGACCCAGGACTTGAACTATAGTCAGCCATGTGGAAAGCCAGTGCCTTAACTACCGTGCCACCTATTGTCCCCAATATGTTTGATTTTATAATCCTGTTTTCTTTTACACTGAAAATCTTGTTATGTACCATCATGTTACAGTTTCCTTTTTTATCATAATATAAAAAAATAACCTCAGGGCCAGCAGGTGGAGTGGTAGTTAAGGTGCTGGACTTCCACATGGCTGACTGTGGTTCAAATCCCGGACCTGGTGGCTTGCTTTCTCACTTTCCCTCTTTTTCTCTCTCTCTGTCCCTTTCTGGTTAGTGCACATGCCCTGTAACAAATTTAAAAAAGAAGAATAATGATAAATAAAAAAATTTTAAAAAAGAAAGAGGAAATGGCCTCAAAAGGCCAATAGCTGTGTTTTTTTAAAAACACTAAAATGACCAAGTACTTTTTCAGTGTGTGTGTATGTCGGGGGTTGCCACGCAAGAGGGTGAGGAAAAGGATAGGTGTTTTAAACCGCCCGCCTGCTCTGACAGGTGGATGGTTATTGGGAGGGAAGCTGACAGTAGCTGGGACTGGGTGGTGGCGGTGCAGGCGGAGAGAATGGGACTGAATCAGAGTATCTCGTCTGTTGGGGCTGCCATTGCGTGTTGGCTTTGTGATTTTATGCTGGTCACTTCATAAACCGAGGGGTTAGAGTGGGCCGTCTCCCAGCCCCTGCAGTTCGGGATGGCTTCCTCCTTGGCCTTCACGAGTATATGCTGCGTGTTGCTCACGGCCTCTTTCCTGTCTGCAGGACCTCATGGTCCGGAATGACTCCCCGTGTGGTACCACCATCGGGCCCATCTTGGCTTCGCGATTGGGACTGCGGGTATTGGACCTTGGCAGCCCCCAGCTGGCCATGCACTCCATCCGGGAGACGGCCTGCACTACGGGAGTACTCCAGACCCTCACGCTCTTCAAGGTAACTCCACCACCCGTCCCCAAGGCGGCAGCGCTGCCCCCTCTAGCATCTGGATTGGTTGCGGTGTGGCTGGCCTAGGTGATGAGGGCTGGTTGTCATGGTGCTCCATGGAGGAAACGAGGGTCCCCATGTTCCTCAAGGCTCAGGGGCCCTGCCCAGACTCCAAAGGAGAATAAGGGGATGGAGAGGGGCCCAGGGAAAAGAAGACTACTGGGAAGCATAGGGGACCCTTGGAGCTTCTAATGCTGTGGCCTCCATTGGAGGGAGCTGAGTGGCGGGCACCTCCATCTGGTCACTTGCTGATTGCGTATCCCATGTTGCCACCCTTTTAGGGTTTCTTTGAGCTGATCCCGTCTCTGAGCCGTAACCTCTTAGTGGATTGAGGCCTCATGGAAAGACTTCTGTCTACCCCTTTGCAATTGACGGGGGATGTCCTCAGCTGAGCTGAAGCCAGATTATTAAAATGAATTTTTCACTCAGATACATACTGTTGTGCTTATTTGGAGACTGGGGGAGGGGGGGGCGCGGGGAGGGGAGCCTAGCTCGAACCTTTGGCACCAGGACAGAAGGGGAGGTTAGGCTGCAGGGGGGAGCTGAAGGAGGCATGATTTAAAATCTTTTCTTGTTCCAAGTAGCATGGTGGTTATGGTGACTGGATCCCACATGACCAACTACAGTTCAAGTTTGGGACTCAGCAGCTTGAGAAACACCAGCCACATGTGTGTGTATGCCTAAAATCCCAAAAGGAGGGAGAAATGGAGGAGAAGGGATTGCGGCATGCCTGTCCTGGGTGGAGGGTGCTTTCTCGCTTTCCCCCTGTCTCTCTCCAGTGAGTGTACACACTCTGGTGAAGTTAAAAAGTAAAGAAGTAAAGGCAAGGCCCAGAACACTGTGAAATGTCCATAGCACGTAGCTGTTGAGAAGATAAGTTGTATGTACCAACGTGAAGAGATCCCAAAGACGTTGAGTAGAAAGGTGGTTGCAGAGCTAGACACACAGATAAGCAGTCTGCAAAACTTACATACCCATAATGTGCAAAGCATTATGGATTTTTTTAAAGAGTTTTGCCAGAGGGCACATATGCTTGTGTGAAAAAGATGGAGAGAGTGAGAAATCACTGCCCCAGGGGAGATGGCTACACTACAATCCATTCTCCTCTCTGGATTTTGGGTAGGCACACACACACATCCAGTATGATTTTCAAGCTGCTGGGTCCAGGACTCAAACCACTATCTGAGAGTCCGGCACCTTAACCACCACACCACTTGCTGGCCTTATTAGGGATTTTATAAATGTAGATGCAGGTTTGCACGTAGATAGAAAAGACACATGCGGGAACCAGCAGTTGGCGTAATGGCTATGTCGCTGGACTCCCACGTGGTCGACCGCGGTTCGTGTCCCGGACCCGGTGGCTTAAAACTCACACCAGGCGCGTGTGCGTGCATACCCAAGATCCCGAGAGGAGAATGGAGGAGAAGGGATTGCGGCGTGACCATCCCCCCTGGGGGGTGATTTCTCACTTTCTGTCTCTATGTCTTTGTCTGTCTGGCGAGCGCACGCACCCTACAGTGAAAAATCTCTCCAAAAAAAAAAAGAATGGGAAAAGATACATGTCAGCTTTAACAGTGATTTTCTGGGGGATCAGCACGTGGCATGGTGGTTAAGGACGCTGGACTCCCACATAGCTGACCATGGTTCAAGTCCCTGACCTGGTGGCTTGCTTTTTCTCTCTCTCTTGTTCTCTCCCTCTCTGGTCAAAAAAAAAAAAAAAGAGAATAAATAAATAAAATAATTATTTTTAAAAAACAGTGATTTTTCTGGTTTGGGAAAGACAAAGGGGCTTTACCTTTTTCATCACGGTGCTCCTCCCCCTTTCTTTCCTTTTTTTTAATGAGAGAGAGGGAAAAAGAGAGGGATAGGCATTTCAGATGGATTCTTGCTGTCAGGATCCTCCTGCTCCAGCTTCACAATTAGCTAGGATTACAAATGCGTGCCAAAGCAACAGTAAAACATGGTGTTCTGGGGGCTGACCAGGTGGCATGATAGTTGAGGCAGCTGGATCCCACATGGCCAACTACATGGTTTGAGTCCTGGACCCAGTGGCTTGAGAAACATGCTGGAGTGTGTGTGTGTGTGTGTCCAAATATCCTAAGAGGACAGCAGAAGAGAGGGGATTGAAGGATTGAGGTATGATATCTCCCCTGGGGGACTGTTTCTTTCGTTCTCTGTCTCCAGTAAGGCCATGCTCCCCCTATAGCAAACTAAATATTAATAATAAGAAGAAAGAAAGAAAACCCCATGGCCTCTGTGAGGCTGACCCACATGGGAAGGTTTCAGGTTCTAGTCCAGAGACCTCCCTGAGAATGCCAGGCGTGTGTGTCCAGGGCCAACTGAGGCTGGGGGAAATCACACCAAGACCCTGCTAAGGATTCTGCCTCTTTCTCCCTTGTGGAAGAAATAATAGAAAATAAAAACCAGTTTTTTGGAAAGTGGAATTAAGGTGTGAGTTTGCTATAAAAAATTTTGAAATCCATGAATAAGTTTTTGTTTATTTTACCAGTAGGGCACTTGCACTCACCAGAGAGAAACAGAGAGAAGGAAAGTGAGAAATCGCCCCCCCGGGGGGATGACTGCACCTCAATCCTTTCTCTGTTCTCCTCCTGGGATTTTGGGCATATACGCACATGTCCCCAGTGTGGTTTTTAAGGTGTCAGGTCCAGGCCTCAAACCATGGGAGCCCAGCTCCTGAACCACCATGCCACATGCTGGCCCTATAAACAGGCTTTTTATAGTCTGCACTTCCATGATCTTTTTGAAGATTCCATGTATATCATTGTACGTTTGCCTTATTTCTTCCCTTGGGTTAAATTCCTAGAAATGAACTATGGAATCAACTGTATGCACAATTTTTTTAAAAATTTAATTGCCAGAGGGCACATGTGCTTGCCAGAGAGGGAGAGGAAGAAAGCATTCATTAAGGGACATGGTCACACCACAGTCCCTTCTCCACTTCTCCACCTTGTTGGGATTTGGGGCACCCACACACATGCACCCGGTAAGGTTTTCAAGCCTCGGACAGGATTCGCTCTGTGTCTGGCCATGTGGGCTATGACTCCCAGGCACTGTGCTTAACCATTGCACTTACAGGGCCGGCGCTGGGGCCTTCCTCTGTAAACCAACCCTCCTACTAAAGACAACCAAAGTAACAAGGAATCATTTTTTAAATCTTGAAACATCAACTAGGTAATAAGGTGGTGAGAAGTTACCTGACAGGGATCAAGAAGAATGAGAATTCAGAGAGGTAAGCCAGGCACTGAGGAGCCTCTGGCTGGGAGGTGTCTGCCAGGCAAGGAAGGCCCAGATGGTGTCACCACTCTTAGCAGAGTAGCTGGTGTGGAAGTCGGACGGATGTCATCACTAACAGGACAGAGGGGCCCAGGGTCGTAGAGCTGCTCAGCCTTTCCCTAGTCAGGGTTAGTTCCTGGTGTGGTCTTCTGACCCCGATGGCAATCATTTGATGTGCAAGTGGTTGTTGGAAAGCATTTAAAACGCTTGGCATGATACAGTACAGCAGTAGAGCAAATATAGTAATTGTTCTAAGCAAAGATTCCTAGAAGCCTTTTTCTTTTCTTTTTTCTTCTTTTTTTCTTTTTTTTTTTTTGAGAGGTTTTTGCTCTAGGGCGCGTGCACTCACCAGAAAGACAGAGACAGACAGAAAATGAGAGATCACCCCCCAGGAGGGATGACCATGTTGCAATCCATTCTCCTCTCGGGATCTTGGACATGCATGTGCACGCGCCCAGCGTGAGTTTAAGCCAGTGGGCCTGGGACTCGAACCACAGTTGACTACATGGGAGTCCAGCAACATAGCTATTATGCTAACTGCTGGTCCACCAGGAGCCAATATTTAACCAACTAAATAAATCAGTAGAGGAAAGAGCACCTATCTAATAAAAGACATATCTGTTACTTAAAATCCCTTAATTTGGGGCATCGATTTCTAAATTATTCACATAGAAACTTTTTTTAAATCAATAATAACACAGCTACTCCTTTTTAAGCTCTTCAGGTATCAAGAACTTCTGCTTTGGAGTACTATTAAGGCCAATATGTTCATTTCAAATTGTCTTGCTTGAAGGCAATTCAAGGTCTTCTATCAAAACAGAAGAGCACTTAATATTTGGGACAAATTCTGATTTTAGTATTTTAGTCCAGAAGCCAGCTAGTCGAGAAGACTTGGATCTCAGATCGAACCATCATTAGTGGTGAAAGGATGAAAGTCTCTTATGGTAGCAGGTGGTATTCTGGTGAACTCTCCACGGGACGTACAGCAGCAGCACGAAGCCTTAGTGATTTTTCTGGAGCAGAAAGTCATTCGGTTTTAGTTTGCAGGGCTTTCCAAAAGGGCAGGTTAGCTTTTAGTTTCTCCAAGAAGAAAATCAAGACTCAATCCAGCTTAAGGGAGATAACAAAACCTTGAAGAAAGTGAGCAAGACTCAAATTTTTATGTTTTTAATGAATTAATTTACTTTTTATTTATTTATTACAACACAAATCCATTTTTATTCACTTTTCATTATTTTAAATCTTTGAGGGGTACAGCATCACACGGATTCTGTGTCCAATAGCCTTAGCAAGAAGGTTGCTTCGGAATTTGGCTTGAATCATGCCACTGTTTCCATGGGGACAGTAACCTTTCCCCAGATTACTCTGGTTTATTTGGTTTGCCACCAGGAGTCGCTGTGTTGTTTCTTGCTTTGTACACATAATCACACCCCTTGCCTACATAGAATTCCGTTTCATCTCATGCATAAACACCTTCCATTTAAGAAGAACTGTGCACTCCCTTTGGTTCCTGAGACCCCGTTTATAGCCAGCAAAAATGGCCTTGGACCACAGCCTTCTAGACATAGTTGTCTTTCAGAAGTCCTGTTCCCAGCAGGCCTCCACAGGCTCCAAGATGGCAGAAAAAGCTGTTTGTATGTATGTATGCATGTATGTATGTATATTAGTGATTTTTGTTATAGGGCACACGCACTCACTGAGAGACAGAGACAGAAAGTGAGAAATCACACCTCAGGAGGGATGGCCACACCACAATCCTTTCTCCTCCATTCTCCTCTCAGGATTCTGGGCACACATGTACATGTGGCTGACACATTTCAAGCCTCTGGTTCTGGGACTTGAACCATGGTCGGTCATGTGGGAGTCCAGTGCCTTAACTACTATACCACTGTCTGGCCCCTAGTAGTCACTCATTTTTTTAAAAAATAACTACAGTAAGCTTAATTTTTAAATAAAAAGACTAGTTTTTATTCAACTTAACCTGATTATTTAAGTGTAATAAGAATAGTAACTGTATGTATGTTTAAATTATGATACTTTTAATCAGTGCTTTGGTAATAGCCAAGGGATTTTTATTGACTTTGAATTGGTCAACTTTAGTTTTTAAAATCTACCAAAGGGACCAGCAGATGGCAT